GATAGAAGTACGGTAGCGTGTACTTACAGAAAAAGAGAAAAAATTATAGAAGATTTTTAAGATGCTGCCACCAGGCAAGTTACGTACTTGGCCGAACGGTTTAAGAAGTTAATGAGTAAAAGGAGGGAGGATCGTAGCCCTTGTGTTGAAATTGAAATAATACGAAACAAGAATTTATATAAAAAAATATTAATATATTAAATTAAGGAAATTAAAATATATAAAAAAAAATAGAAAAATAAATTAACCAACAAAAATTAAGTTAAAATATTAAAGAAGAAAAACGAAAACTAATTGAACAACTTTTAGATAACGGAACGTTAACTATGGATACAAATACTAGCGATGATTATGAGTTACAAGAACAATAGTAATTAATTATGCTTACTTATTCTACGCCACGACGACGCTCTTCCACCAGGATTCGAACGCTTCAGGAACTGGCTTCAAGGCACAATTTTGATCTGAGGATTCGATTTCTCTAGCAAATTACCCAGCACAAACCACCAGCGTATTTAGAAGCCTTTCCGAATTTAGTATTGAGAATTTAAATTAAAAATAAAATGAAATGGAGCGAACTCAAGGGGAAGACTGTAGCTTCTATCTACCTTGGTACTTGGTACTCGACTCCCCGAGTCGAACTCGGTGGCGCATCAACGCCTCACCCGATAACGCTGACTTAAGCAAAATAATTATACAAAACGCAATTTAATATACAGGGCGGTTTGTTACAGCAGTATTTAGACCTGTCAGCAGTAGCTAGTCTTCAGAAAGCAGTATTTCGTCTCCACAAAGCAATTTTAGTCCTTATCAAGCAGTATTTAGTGTTCCAGACGCTGCATTTAAACCTGTCGGAAGTATCTAGTCTTCAGAAAGCAATATTTAATCTTCTAGAAGCAGTATCTAGTCTTCTGCCAAAGTTATGTATATTTTCTCCAAAATATTTTATCTTTCTTTTGCAATATTTAGACCTGTCAGCAGTAGCTAGTCTTCAGAAAGCAGTATTTCGTCTCCAAAAAGCAATTTTAGTCCTTAGAAAGCAGTATTTAGTGTTCCTGACGCTGTATTTAGACCTGTCGGCAGTATCTAGTCTTCAGAAAGCAGTATTTAATCTTCCAGTGCAGTATCTAGTCTTCAGAAAGCAGTATTTAGTCTTCTAGAAGCAGTATCTAGTCTTCTGCCACAGTTATGTATGTTTTCTCCAAAATATTTTATCTTTCTTTTGATATATTTAGGAGTGTTTTAGCAGTATCTAGTCTTCAGAAAGCAGTATTTAGTCTCCACAAAGCAATTTTAGTCCTTAGAAGGCAGTATTTAGTGTTCCAGACGCTGCATTTAGACCTGTCGGAAGTATCTAGTCTTCTAGAAGCAGTATCTAGTCTTCTGCCAACGTTATGTATATTTTCTCCAACAATATCTTATTTTTCTTTTGCAGTACTTAGACCTGTCAGCAGTATATAGTCTTCACAAAGCAGTATTTAGTCTCCACAAAGTAATTTTAGTCTTCAGAAAGCAGTATTTAGTTTTTTAGAAGCAGTATCTAGTCTTCTGCCAATGTTATGTATGTTTTGTTCTTGATACTGACAGCAACTTCTTTCTGGGTGTCTATCATCATCTTTTTGGGAGCCTCTTATTATCTATACGGATCTTGTACCACCCGGCACCTCATTTCTGCAGCTGTTACTTTGCTTACAAAATAACAAAATACAATGGGGGAATACCGTGGTCACATGTCGGTCGGTTTATGCCCACATGTTTATAACTTGGTCTACTACGCGGGATACCAGAATTTTATGATCACTTTTTTTCTTTATCTCGTTGTGCTTCAACTTGAACACAGGATTTTGTTATTCAGTATTTATTTTGTGTTAAACGTGATCAGTTTGTGAGACGTAAATAATCTCGATAAAGTTCTAAAAGTGGATGTTTAATTATTATTTGTTTAGTTTATTATTTGTAGTGATGATAATACTTTGCCACTAAAAAAGGTAATATTGTGTTAGATTGTCGCTTTAGAAAAATTCTATAAGCAATATTATTTTGGATTCCTTTTATAGTACCCTATTGTTTAATAAAATGGCTAAACAACTTCCGAAGAGACAAGCAATTTCCTTAGAAACTAAAATAAAAATCTTAGACTGTCTAAAGAAAGGCGAAGGTCCCACATCTGTTGACAAAGCTTTTGGTTTAAACGAAGCGACTATAAGAACAATTAGAATTCCATTCGACAATCCGTAATTTCTGGATCGAAAGTAAGCTCCAAAACATCATCTTATAGTCGAAATCCTATCTTAGAGAAAACGGAAAAACACATGGTGTTTTGGATAGAAGATTTACAGTCAAAAAGAATACCTATTGATGGGAAACATATAAAAGAAAAAGCACTTAGAATATATAACCAACTTCAGGAATTGGAACCATCAACAAGTCTTCAGGTAACGAAGAAACAGGCATTTAATGCAAGGGTGGGATGACAGGTTTTATAAAAAGACACGCATTTCACAATGTAAAAATAAACGGAGAAGAATTAGCATCAGCAGACGAAAATGCTGCAAAAACCTGCTGCAAAAAATATTTTTTTGTTTTGAGAAATAAGACCTCGCTGCGAAAGCACAACGCCAAAAGAGCCCGGCACCAAACGAGCGGCAACTGAAAGGTTTAGCGTTCCTAGCGGAGGCAATCTTCCGCAGGGGCAAAAGCCTATAGCTGTCAGCTTCAAGCAAGTGTTGGACGATAAAAAGATAGGAATTGCAGATTCCCTATTTCCAGAGGTGAACTTCACAACAGCCCAAATGCAGGCTATTCAAGAGGTTATCATCTCGAGAATAGTGGACCATAACGAGGGACACGAAAGCGAAGTCAAGCCTAAGTTTTTCGGCACCACATTTAAGGCAGGCTGACTGGTAGTCAACTGCAAAAACCAGGAGGTAGCGGACTGGATAAAGTCCAATCTAATGGCTATCGATGAAAAGGAGCTACCTAGAGCGACTATCATGAACGCCTATTTCCCCAACAGTGCGGATGAAAAATCAGACCGCATTTTAAAGATTGTTAAAGGTCACAACGAAGGCCTGCACACAAACGAATGGAGGGTGCTCAAAAGGACGACCGAAGGCAGCAGTGCCTTTCTTACGTTGTCCGTCGATCATTCCTCTATGGAGAGCCTTAAAAAAGCGAACTATAAGATTAGCTACAAGTTCGGGCAAATCACCCTGAGGCAAAAAAGCGGCAAGCCTACGCCACAGAAGATAGAACCTGAACCGAACGGTACAGGTAAGGTAAGCTCCGAAAGGAAGGGTAAGGGCAAAATTGCACCCACCAAACAGTAATGCCGGGAGTAGGCTTCATCCAAGCCAACATCCAGCACTGTAAAAGCGCCTCCGACTTGCTGGCGCCAACATACATGTTGCGCTGATCCAAAAGCCATATGTATATGGAGGAATAGTCAGAAGACTAACAACAAAATTAGGTAAATTGATCTATAACAGAGGAGAGTGCCCTGGGAAAGCAGCGATACTCGCTAAATCCTCCCTAAACTGCCTACCTTTAACCCAGTTTATCTCTAGGGACCTGGTTGCAATGTCAGCGGTAGCGGACTATAGCCTCGGCATACTTCCCCGGTAAATCGGACGATCGACCGTCACAGGAGGCGAAAGACCTCATAGAATACTG